GTCAAACTGTCGCTGTCGGTGTCATCAAGGCCGTCGAGAAGGTTGACAAGGCCACCAAGGCCACCAAGGCTGCTGTCAAGGCTGGCAAGAAATAAGCAACTCGTTATTTTTTAAAAGATTGCATTATATAAAAAAATTAGTCAGCGTTAAGAGTTGTATTCATACAATGGTGTTGGGTGAAAGGTGTGGAAACACTGAGAGTGGGTGGGGATGGTTTGAATGTGTAACGTTTGTGTCGAGCGGGAGTCTATCTGACTTCTGTGCATTTTTTTAATGAAGGGGGAGTTTCGTTCTCAAGCGGTGGCAGCGTTCAACTGACGTCGCTAAATTTTTTCGCCCAACCTCGACAAGGGCAGAAATTGCCGCGCTTGGCATCGAAATTTTATTGTAACAGCGGAAGGACTTCTCAAGCTGGAAAATGACAAAGAGCAAATATATATGTGCTCTCGTATGATATAACATTAATAAAAAATACAGCGCACGTTGGCACAGAAAAACGTCTTTGATTGAAAGGTACGGTAGGATCACAAGGCCATACACTCAAGCATGGGAAAACATGCCTATGGAGTGCAAGGTCAGGAGTGACGTGTTTTGACAATTCATAACGCACTTCTGATGAACGTTTTGCGTACCCGTTGGTATGAAATAAACTGCTATACAATAGATCAACCATCCATCTTTCTTCTCCGCCAAAAGAAGTTCAAACGGAGCTGAACTTTCGTGGGCAAATCGATTACGACGATATTGCAGCTTTTTGATCTTGTCATGAAATTTTAGCTGTCAACACGGAGGATCTCTCAGCGTGCGTAAATCACATAGTATATCTCGGAAAGGCGGAATGATCATCATTGGGTGTTCCTTCCAGACTGAAATAACGCCTTTCCACGCTTCAAACCCCTTTATTGTTACTAAGAACTGAAGCTTCGTCATACTGACGTTTCAGACATGGTAAAAAGAAAACAACATCATAGTAGAACGGCGAGAAGATAGGGACTCCTCTTTATTAGCGTAGCAAGCCCGGAGTCAGATGATGGGCCAAACACCACGGATGAGCCAACACGTGCCCCGCACTGGACACCATTCTTCGCCAATAAAATTGCCAATTTATCCCACCCGTTGACGGGTTTGTCTTCCTTCCGCTCGATGCTACACTCTAATCCTTTGATCAACCCACCGACGCTAATAGAGACAACAGAGAATATACGCTACTTGATTGTCGATTCTCCAAGTCAAAGTACCCTACCTATATACCTACAGGTACAGCCCTGTTTTTGACTTGACACTGCGTTCCTGTCGACTTGAACCTTTTTTTAACAACTGACCCACACTTAGGAATTTGAACGATGGAACGTCACTGATGTTGTTCGTTGCTGCGAACCAACCTATCCAAAAGAGTTGCTAGAGGAAAAAGGAATTCAGGTTCATGACTGGACATATGCGGATGGTGACCAACCACCGGGTCATCTGGTCAACAGTTGGTTGAAACTTATCCGGCGTACCCGAATGGATGCTATGGAAAGGAGAAAGGCAGGCTCAAAGCAGGTGCCGTGTATTGCAACCCACTGTGTTGCTGGTCTTGGAAGGTTTGTGGTAAAAGGGATGGTCAAGGCACCACCAAAAATGGGAAATTGACAAAGTTGGTTTCGAATAGGGCTCCAGTATTGGTCGCCATAGCATTGATAGAGGATGGTATGTCACCTTTGGACTCAGTGGAACTCATTCGTGAGAGACGACGAGGAGCTATCAACAGTAAACAACTTCGGTACTTGGAGTCATATAAGCGTGAGCAGGAGGCTGGGAGCTGTCGGATCTGTTGACTATATGGCTGGATAAGGAAAGAGATTCAATTGGAATGGCCGGAATTACGCCAGCCAAGTCAGAAGCAACAACAACGCCATGAACATAAGCGGGATGACGAGACCATTGTTACATCTCTTGGTATACGAGATCGATATCGTCGAGTACGCTTTGCTAGTACCTCCACCACCGATACCCTGGTCGATAACACCCTTCCTCATCTTTTACGAAACAGTCACCAAACACTCCTTTACGGGACACCGCTCACGCCGTCTCAAACAACCAACCAACTAATAGAACCCGGCCCTCACATGCATCCGGTCGCCGCTATGCTGGTGCATACTTCATTACATTTTTTCTTTCCTGCTCCCATTGTACAGTTATTCTCCAACCTTTTATACACGAGAAAGATACCCACGTAGCATAGCATTTCCAATCCATCCCATTCCACTCCTTAATACGTGTATTGTTATTTTTGTATTTGACAATGTGCATATACCAACACCATGAATTGAGATCCATGCCAAGAATCTCTACCACAAGGCCACTGACCCGATGCAATGTATAGTTGACCATAGGTTTTACAACGCACTATGGCTCTTCTTCGATGCGATGCTGTTCAACACCCCCGTCGTAACATCCGTTTGCATGCACATATGTGAGCTCGCAGAAACCCGGCTGTTGGCATGGACTAGTAGATAACCACTGTCTCAGTAGTGTTTCAAGGATGCCGAGCCAACGGAGACAGTGATCGTCCATTGTTTTGATTGCCCTTTTTATACCCGCTTTTTTCTTTATTTACCCACCATTGCCCCAATGTGTCGCATATCGACCTTCTAGTGAAGACCCTGGAATACGATGGATGTATAGCATTATATAATGATTGTTTGCTAGCAATATATAATTCGAGCAGAGGAAGGGAATTGTCCTCATCTGTTCGGCCGTTTTATGAACGTTAACTTTCCAATTCGTTCCGCGTGTTTTATCACCCATGCCTTCGCTGCTCAAAGTATAGGGAAAGAAATTGCGAAAATGAGTAGTGTTAACGACTGTATGCAAATTTTTTGATTTAGTCCGTTGAGAAACCAGGACTTTTCCCAACTTTTGCAATCCTTATTTTCGGCATGGCGGCAAACGCAATTCAATAAAACTGCAAAAAGCCACGTCTGAAATGCCGGCAAGCAACCTGAAGCCATCACCTCAACCACGTAACTCACAAGCTGTCGCAATAGGTAGTAATAATTCTGTAGGTAGGGTAGGAAAGGTCTTTCAAATTGGCTCGTTTTGCCCTGACTGCGGAAGCACAACTGGGGAGCAGGTACCGAATTTTTTATTTTACATTTGGCCGCATGGACTGCTGGCCTGTACACATACGACTTCACCTTTCATCTGTACATTGTGTGCAAGGTTACGCCATTAACCAAGTAGGATGACTCATGGGCTTGTCAATAATGACCGTTATGTCGCCAAGGTTACTCAGAAATTGGCAACACCAAGAACTGCCAAGCGCGTAACATTGGCATTTTGGCTGCTGTGCCACCTCACGACGAAATTTTTTCTCCAGCTTGAATTATCCATTGCCGAATGCTGCAACTTGGCACCATGACACCATATATATAGCCACGTTCCCAACTACGATCTTCATCACAAATACATCGCATAACAATGGGTTTCTTCAAACGCTCTTCCAGCTCTGCCAAATCTTCTGCATCCTCTCAAGTCAGCACATTGGTGGGTACCTCAACCAAAACCACCAAGGACACCAGCAAAAGTCCTGCCAAACAAACGGCAACCAAGCCCAAGTATCCTATGTACCCAAAGGCTCACACCCAATTGAGCCGCATGTAATCGGGTTCCACCGATAGACATTGTAAATAAGGATCTTTAGGATAAGAATTTTCTTTTCTTCTTTCTTACCTTCTCTACTATTGCTACATATCGATATCCATCTGCTTCAGTTTCGTAAAATACGAATACTTTATGGCCGCATGTAAATAAAGTACACAATTTTTTTTTATGTCATTCAGGGATGTTGTATGTATAAACAGGAACATGTTGTGATTAGAGATACGCCATGTCGTTATATGTGTACATATATTATCAGATCGTCCGTAAACATACGATCTATTGTTGGTAAAATTAGCGTAGCAATAATATGCCGCGTTATTATTATCTGTTTGTTTACACTTCTACAGTATTAAAACAACTGTGCATGAAAAGGCGTGCAGCAACATGTTCCATATATTTAAATTTGTCTATAGAGTAAAGAAAAAAAAATTCCTATTTACACGGGATGACCGAAAAATAGCCAGGACGCTAGATGTCCCAGGATGGAAGGCTATACTAAATCCTTCAACACGTCTAAAGATTGTTTTGGAGCCGACCGACGTAGTTTTAGAGGACCCGACGTTGGATCATTGGACAGTCGTTTTCTAGGGATCTGCACCTCAGGGCGAGAGGAACGGACGTATTTCAATGAGGGTGTAACAATGTTCCTAGGTCTCATACTTGGATAAGTTACTGTGTCTCTCGAAACATGAGTACCGATGTGGACTGCCCAGTAGAGTTTCCTATGATCACCAATATCGGAGGTCTGGACAAGGAACGGTCCCAAGTTCTTATGAGGGCGAATGGTGATCAGATCCTTAGTAGCATCATCCCATTTGTCTACTTTATCAAACCCCAGTCGAGTCAGGACAATGGCAGCGACGTTTTCAGTGATGCTGGTTCCGCTTATGTCCATGACGTTAAGGGCAGGAAATTTCACTAAATACTTTATCGAGGCATCAGATATGTATTTCGCGTTACTGACCAGCAGAGCCTCCAAATGCCAAAGTCCCTGATTCGTTTTCATTGAAAATGGGCGTGCCAAGTGCGACACGCCGTAATCGGTAATTACTGTGTCGGACAAGTCAAGGGCCACTAGACTAGTCAATGGGTTGAGTCGACAAAGATCATCATCAGTCAGTTCGTGACATCCCTTCAAATCCAATTTCGTTAAAAACGTAGGCACAATGGAAAGCGTACGAAGCTGTCGGTCCAATAGATTGGTGTCCTGGTAACGAATTGATTTCATGTAGCATGCATGGCGCAGGGACAGATTAGAAGTTGGATATGTTTCTGCAAAATTATCCATCATTTCTGCCGTAATGGTATCTTGATCGAAGGTGGTTTGTACCACTTGTTCAGCCAAGTCCTGCGGGATGGCAGCACCAAAGGTTTCAAACCAATGGGAATGACGTGCAATGACCCCTATGGCCAATGTCTTGAGTGATGGAACAGGGATCATTGCTTGACATGGAGAGGTACCTCCGACGAGTGAAACGGTCTTTGCTATGCTATGCGTATCAGAATAACCTGCCCTACCACGAAAGCGCAGACCAGTCAACAAGGTTTCTGGATCCACTAGGTCGCACGGTGGAAAGATAAAAAAGTAAATTTTACCTCTTCATCATCTTTCCTCTCTTTCCCTTCCTCATGAAGTTTGCACTTGTTGCACTTGCCTCTCTGCTGAACGTAAGAGCCACCCTACTCGATAATCCATCCGCATACCCCTCACAGCGTCTTTTCCCCCCTCCCCATAGCTTGCTTTAGCTCAGGTTCAGTCACCCGATGGTACTTTCAATGTAACCAATCCTATTAAAGGTGGTACATTTGTTCAGGGCAAGGCACTTCCTGTTGTCTATGATCTCCTCGTCAACCCCATTACCCTCCAAATGAACGTATACCTGGTTTACAGCGGAAGTGGAAATGGTGCTCAAGTGACCATTGCGCAAAACGCCGATGTTACAGTAGATGCATCGTCACTACAAAACAAAAATAACCAGAGTTACTGGGAGCATTCCATCAACTTTGCCATTCCAACCACGATTCCTCCCGGTACTTACAACGTATGAACATTTAATTTTGGGTTTTTTAATTATCGGGTTTTTCCAAAAGCTGACTTTGAATCTATCGTGATTTCCAGGTTGTGTTTGAAGATGTTACTTCTCACACCAACACCACCGTTCCCATCACTATCAACGCAGGCGCAATGAGCGTCATCAGCACTTCCATGATGATGACTTCTACGGTTGCTTCCTCATCAGCTGCAACCTCTAGCGCATCTGCCGCTGCTTCATCCACCTCTGCTCCTGCTGCCCAGTCCGCCTCCAATCAACTTGGCTTCACGTGGATCCCTACAGCCGCCTGCCTCGTTATGGCTGCCGCACTCGCTCTCTGAACCGTTTAGGGAGTAGTAGTGTGCAGCAGCGTAGACTGTCAAGCCATTATATAGTTGACGGCAACACAAATCTATACTAATTCAATCCGTAATAAAAATTCCAAAGCTGTTTGTGTTTCCAAAAGACATATGTATATTCCTATAGCCGTCTGAAGGTAAAAACTAGTACAGTATATGAATGGAGAGAAGCATGAAATGCGTGATACAAGAGAAAAGTAGCAAAGGGGTGTATTATAAAACTGGAGTCACTAATGGTCCCAGAACGTCGCTTGGTGATAGTAAGGAGGTGGGTATGGTTGGGGCGGCATACCATATGGACTGTACGGATCATGGTGATTAGGGGAAGGCGGTGGTAGATAATTGTGAGTCTGGCTGGTTTCTACACCGAGAGTGGGTTGCTCGATGCCATTGAGGAAGTAACGTTGTTGTCCGTTACCGTAGTCTTCATATGTCCTTTGACCGTGCTCATCTTGAATATTGGTGATAGTGACTGTCTGTGGTCGTCCATTGATGATTCTCGTCGACTTACTGACACTGGTCGATCGGCTGCTGCCGCCACCCATGCTGCTGCGACTGCTGCTGGTATGTACGCTGCTCCTTCCGTTGACTGTCGACGTTGTGCTTGTATACGTGCTGGTGCCTCCACCCATATTGCCTCTTTGTCTCCTAGTGCCCATGCTGCCACTTATGCTACCACCAATGCTACCACCAATGCTACCGCCAATGGAGAAAGAACTGGAATCCGCAAAGGGAGAATGCATGCCCCTCCTTCCAAAAGGCGCTGTGAAGAACGGATCATCAAATGGATCATCATAGCCACCAAAAGGTCTCATATGTGACATGAAGGGGCTAGGGCTTCGACCTGTTTGACACCAAAACAATTTCGAAATTGATTAGGATTTAACTGACGCAATGGAGGTTTTGCCATCTGCCACCTACCAAACACATCAAACATATCAGCAAATGGGTCTCGTCCGCCGAAAAAATTGGTGAAGACTTGTTCTGGAGAATGGAACTATTGGAAAGAAATTAGCATAGTGATACGAGACAACGGCAGTAACGGATGACGACACTTGCATGAAAACCAGTAAAAGGATCGTGACCACGCATGAAATCGTCCTGATAACTTGCGTTGGGCGTGGACGGCTGAGTGCCACGGTTATCATAGGTTCTGCGCTTTTCAGCTGGAGAACAATAGGTTAATGGCGGGGTTACGGGTTATGTCATTTTGACCGGCGATTGGAATTTAGTACATACGATCTGACAATATCTCATACGCTTGACTATCAAAACCAAGGCAAGGATATGATTAATTAAAAAAAGTTCAACATATACTGAAGGCTGTTGTTTCATACGTACCATATTTCCTTGAACTAGAAAGACAACAAGGGAAAGCATGTTAGTGGAGTGCCGGATTCGAATAGGTATGAAGTGGGAATTACCTTCTCGGCTGCGTCTGCGTTGGACGGATTTTTGTCGGGATGCCACTTCAAAGCGAGTTTCTTATAGGCTTTTCTAATATCCTGTTCGTTAGCAGAGGATTCTACTTCCAGAATGCTGTAGTAATCCATGACTAAATGCAACAAAAGTGGGGTTTGTGACAAAAGAAAACTAAGGCTTGGCCCGTGATTGCAGGCTCGGCTTGGGAACCCCCCCATGGCAGTCACAGCTCTAACGATTTTTTTGGTAAAAGGAGATTTCTTCTTAAAACATGGTGCGTGTTCTATTGAGAATAATGATAATAAAAGAAAAAGAATGTACATTGGCCATTTCGAAAGCACAAAGTGTAATTGTCAAGGTTTAGCATGTAAAAAGCTTTCTACCATTAACATGTATGAGTGATGAAGATAGAAAAAGAAACAAAGTGTTATGATCTACAACGAGGTCTGTAATTTACATAGGGATGAAAAGTATTAAGTAGAACTTGGGGGGAAAAAGCGAAGAAAAAGAAAAACAAAAATTCACATAAACAAAAATTACGATAACCATGGATGGTTCAATACACCATCGATAGTTGGCCGCTTCTCAACATCTCTGTTCAACATACTCTTGATCAAATCGATGGAACCTATAAAATGCATGGGTGAGCCGAAGGGAACAGGAAAGCCAAACATATACATGCTATCTCTCTCTCTATGCTTACCTTCGCAGAACTCAAAAGGAATTCGAAGCTCGCGAGCAAGAATCTCATCAATGTTATAAAATGGGTTCTCCTTGTAAATCATGGTGTATAAAAGGATTCCCAGGCTCCAGATATCTTGAGGTGGACCTTCATATGGGTTGCCTTGGAGAACTTCCGGTGCACAATAATCAAGTGTTCCAGAAAAGGTATCGAATCGCTTGCCTTCTTTCACATAGTTGGCGCTTCCAAAGTCTATGAGTAAGGCCGTTCCATTCTCATCCAGAATGACGTTTTCATCCTTAATATCTCTGTGAACCATCTTGTTGTGATGTAAATGGCGAATGGCTTCGCCTATTTGTCGAAAGATGGATTTAATCTCGTGTTCGCTCATTTCACGATTAAGCTCAATATAGTCGAACAAATCCAAGCCTTCACCATGTAGATCCATGACGATATAGTAGTAATCTTCATCTTCAAAGTAGTCGACTGGTAGATAAAAAAAAACGTTGTTGTGTCAGTTAAGGCATTGTCAGCTATGCTCATTGCATACATCAGGAGATAAAGTATAGCCGTGCTAATCTTTTTCATTCATGTCAAACACTGTCGTTGGTACTTACGCATGTGGCAACAATTGATATGTGGGATACGTTGAAGAGTATGTAATATGTGTATCTCTAATGGGACCATTCTTAGATGCCGATCTCTGTATATCGCGAATATGGGTTAGTTAAGTGTGCCTAGTCCTTGGGCATGACCTATTTTTTCTCACCTGATCCAGCTGTCGACAAGAATGCGAGATTTTACAACATATTTGATAACCACTTTGTTCTGATAGGAAGATAAACATTGGAATGAGAGAGGTTTAATCAATGTCATCATAGTCTCGTGCCTCGGAAGTTCTATGCGTTACCTTTTCAGGATCATCAAGCTTATATGCGAGCTTAACCATACCATAGGCACCTTGGCCTAAAGAGTCCATGATGCAATAATCGGATATGTTGGTTTTGAGAGTAAGGGCGGAATAGTTGAGCATGGACACCGGAGGAGTTCGGGATGGTGGAGGGGTATTAGGATGTACATTGCTTGGTAGTCGTAGTAGTGTTGCAGCAACAGACGGAAGCTTGTTTACGGGTGGAGTTGGCTGAACAGAGCTCGGCATGGGCTCATTGAGAGGAACGACTTTTCTATCAACCTGGGGAGACCCAAATGAACTGACTCCAAATGATTTCAATTGTGGTCGTATTATGGGTGGTGTTGTAGATGGCGGTGATGGGGGTGTCGAATTGCGATGTACCATAGAAGGATGTGGTGGGGATGGAGGAGATGCCTTAGGGGCAGCAATAGGCGACTTTAATACTAGTGGGGATTCTGATGGTGTGGAGATGGATGACCGAAGCTTAACTGCTGGAAAATTTGAAACTGAACTGCCAAATTGCTGATTATTTGAGCCGACTTTGCTCTTGTGGCCATATTTCGAGAACGTTGATACTCGATCAAACATAATCCAAACGGCAATCAACTCTCCTTCCGTCATGTCCATGATCCGAAGTTGTAATTGGATTTCAAACCATGTCCCATCTCGATGAACAGCTTGAATTACAGGCAGCGGTTTCTCTTGACTCGTGGTTGTGAGTGTTCGAGTATGCGGAATGTTGAACTGACCGGTGGATCCCACTTTCGTGATGCGTGATGACTGTTCTCTTTCCAATAATATTTTTCGACAGGTGAAATGGTCGATGATGTTGGAGCATTTTGTAATGATTTCCTTTTCCAGACCTTTCAAAATGGTAGGCAGCTGCGGTAGCAGCTCACTAATGTTCTTCTTTTCTATGAGGTCTTCTTGAGAATAACCAAAAAGGTATTTGGCGGGAACAGAGTTGATACTCTGTATAAGGCCGTCTTGATGGATAGTGACAAGTCCAGCAATAGTGGGAATGGAGATGACTTTGATGTGGTGCATGGCCATACCGTTAGGTGAAGTTGGGCTTGTAGACACCTTTGACTTAACAATAACAGGAAATTTGGCGCCGAACGAAGTACAACTACCGTAAAATTTGTACTTGTTAAGTTCTGAGAGGTTCAATGGTGCGTCCTTCTCAGTTGAATCATGGTAACCAGAATCAGTCAACCGTAGGTTTGAGCAATCTGGAATCAGAGTCTCTATCCTCTTGCCAATGAGGGCGTCTGCCGAATATCCGTAAAGGTCGTTCACAGCACCATTAACTTCTTTGATAACACCCTACAAATAAACAATTGAGTTTTTGATATGTTTGACGCTGAAGTCAGGGGCCTTGGCAAACCGGACTCAGAGCTAAAAACTCCTATGTCACTTACTGTGGAGGTAACGATCATTGAAACAAGACTTTCCGCGATTTCTTCAAAAATCCAGATATATATAGGAGCTCCAGTGACATCCTTCTTCTGCTTGAGCCACAAGGAAGCAGCTGATTTGGATCCATTTCGTTTAATAATGGGTAGCTGTGACGTAATCATAAGGATGCGATATTAATAAAATGAAGCCTATGCCAGTTTGAAAAAGGCGGGAAAAAGTACATACAACTTTGCCGCATATTAAAACGTTGCCGCGATCATGATGCTCTGTTGATATTCCCTTCATCTCAGATGACCTTGTATTCAACAAGTGCTGTAACCGTTCTTTGCTTGACTCCTCAAAGACGTTTAAAAGCGATTGTCCGACATACGACTTGTCATAACCAAAGCATAAAGAGGCGATATCATTGAACAATAAAATTTTGCCGCTTTCATTGGTCGTGACAATGCATTGGTTTTGAGGTAAAAATCGGGTGGGTGGATGAAGTGCTTGGGATTGACCTGGCCTGGCTGTTAAGGGCATCAAGTCTGTATCAATGGAATTTCTGCGATTGGTCAAAATCACATCAAGAGCATGCTGGGTATCGATAGGATCAAATGCAGTCTGCGTTCGGCGAGCCCGGGGGCTTGAAGAACGTTCAAAAGCAGGGCGTTTCATGTCCGGCAGTTCTCCAATTTCGTCTGAGACGGGACATTCTTCCAGTTTGCCATTTTCAAGTCGGTCTCGAAGTTTTTTCATAAAATCAAAACTACGATTCACTACATTGCGCCTTGTATCAAAAGTGTTCTGGTCTCTGAAGGGTTGAGTGAATCCAAAACTATGCAGCGATTCTTCCGTGAACCGCGCTATCTCACGACAACTTTTCCGATGGACTTTACTTTGCGTTGGTGTGACAGAGCCGGTATTTTCTCGTAGGCGTATTAAACCATTTGCTTGACTCAGGAGTTCATCCTCTTCCTTTTCTTCAAAGGGCTCGTCGTCGTCGTCATGTTTACCAGATATTTCCGGTGAAGCAACAAACGTTTCATTCGGGCTAATGGAAGGTTTGGTTAGAATGAATTCCAAGTTAGTCAATGGGTACACAAATATGTCAAGCAGTGTGCTTTAAAGTTACCTTCGACTGAAGTAGTCACCACCGGCGTGCTTTATGACACCATACTGTGGAGCTAAAAAGAAAGACAACATTAATACCGACCATGGTAGTCTAGACGATAGTCATTGTATAATTTAGCTGGGTTCATTACTGGTGTATAACGGCATTGGAATGGTCCTCAACAAGCACGAATGGGCACAACAGCTCCCTCAAAAAAAATTAAAAAATTGCCGGTCACACTGTAAATTGCCCAGTGTGCGCAGAAACCATGTCGACCCAGGCTTTGGCAAATGAAAAAAAAAACGTGGATGGCCAACGCTGCTGTCTGACTGGTTCCCTTCAAAAGGGTTGTTTAAAATAACATAAACACGGAAATACTTGTTATTGAACAACGAACGGCTCTGTCTCTGTTTTTAGTATAAGGCAGCGCGATTCGACCACCTTCGGGAATTATGTGGAAGAAGTAGAGGGTTTATGAGTAAAGAGTACGTGAAGACGGGTTTCTCTGTTATAAAAATAGATAAACATGCTGTGGTCACCGAGGGCAGCGAGCTAATGAGCGGGATGGCCCAAGAAAAAACCCTGGGTTTGGGCACCGTGCATTCAATAAAGCAAATGGGTCGAGGGTGCATTCCCAAACAGTATGATTTGCCCATTTGGAGGCATAAATGAACGCTTTGCACGAGAGCGTCGATCATGTTTGGATCTTGAAGTTTTCACGGGTGACTATCATGGTCTATCATATCGTAGCGGCCACGTAGTTTATTACGTACCATACTAATGTCCACAATAGCTTGGATCGGTTGCGCTTGAATTCACCGATCAATATCGAGGAAAGCATTGTGTGACCTACCACAGAGAGATTAATATAACTATTTTTACGGAGAGGTTTTTAAGTTTATAATATGCTTCTATCCAAGTGGATGTATCCATGTTGTATGGTATGAAAATAGAGAAATGATGGGATAAAATCGCGTATATCGGGCAGCGCGTATGTTAAGGCAAGGCATCAATTTAATAAATATGGGCAGAGCCCTTGCTAACGCCCATGTTACACTAAATTAACTTGCAGATTGAGGTAAAAAAAAAAAAAAACCGAAAATATCTAACATTCGTTAGAAGGCTAAACGGAGCGTCCCATCTCTTCTCTTCTCTTTCAACCCTTCCTCATCCTTTATTTTTAAACCGTAGCGCAGGTCGCCACAGCCCATGAAGTTTCTATATATCCTATCCGCATCCGTGCTTTTGCATCAAGCCGCTGTGCGCGCTAGTTACCAAGCAACAGCCGGAAGTTGCCCCAATACCTATGAAGCTCAAGCAGGCGATACATGCCCCACCATTGCTACTCGATTTAAGACCACCACCAACTCTCTCGAAGCGTGGAATCCCAATTTCGATTGCAATAGTCTAGCAGCCAATGACATCCTCTGTATTTCGGCACCTTACAACCTACCCTCCACCGCCGTTTCAACCACCGCCGCGTCAGCTACTACCAGCGCAGCCGCCATTCCCACTGCCCACCCTCATGGCATGACGATCACCTTGAACAGCGCAAAGGACTTTTGTCTATTCTTACCTCCCAAAGCTGGCGGTGATGTAGCCTCAAGTGGTAAGTATGGTTACAATGGTTTAACCTAACCAATCGTTGCGAGCATTCCCTAATATGGCAAAACGTGTCCGTTTTCAGAGAAGACAGCTCGTACTTTCTGTACATCCAAGCAAAAGAACGCTCCTGGCGCCAAATTGTTCCCTGATGGATTGATTTTGTCCTCCCATTTCGTCCACAACAAAACCGCCGACTATGTTCAAATCACAGGTCTCATGAATCCTACCGCTTACAATATGTCGCTGAAAGACGAAGGTGGCCAATTCGATGTCAAAAGTCCGCACGGAGCCGTGTGTGCTGGCTATGCAGCCTTCTTAGCCATTGTGGAACCCGCTCAAGGTGACTACTGTGTCCGATGCTGTAATACCAACACCAAGGAATTATGTACCACTGGAAGATCGCAAGATGGTTGCTGGAACCTTATCAAGGGCAACTACGGCGGTCCCAAGGTCAATTATGGTCAGTCCTCAGCTCACTCCACGGCCAGCCACAAGAAGACTTCTAGCGTAAAGCACAGCCAAAAGAAGACCACTCACAAGACCACTCACCATGCCGCTGCCACTCCCGCTCCTGGATATGTTATGTAAAAGTAGCGGTATATTTTTTAAAAAAAGTGCTCTAGTAAAAGTCACGGTGAATGCTTTCAGCAATACTTAGGCTACTGTTTGCCTGTCCATAATTTGTCAATGCAAAATTTTCGAGATAAGAGTTATAAGGGGGGTTCGTCAGACGATTAGAGGTAATGCCAACCACAATGTGGATTGCACGCGGGCCAATCAAGTGATGCCAGGGTACCTCTTGTCAACTTCTCTGATTACTGTTGTCTTGTAGATCTATTGTGCCTTGCACCATACGAAGGACATTGGTTATGGATCATCCTTATTAGTTCTTCCCTCAAGGAAAGTGTATATTCATCACATCAAAACCATTGATCAAGCTTGCAAATCGATCCTTGATGACCACCCAAATATTACCATCATTGCCAATGAAAGCGGCCAGTTCAACTCTACATCACCAGAGTACAGACCCTTTGTTACAAGGCCATTATATTTCCAAATTTGTCTCAGAAAAGTACACAATGCAACCATCCTGAAACTCTGGGAGTTCAACACCAGCCCAGCGTGCTCCAATGACGCGCTCCTGTCGAGATGTGTGCATGTGGCTACCCGACAGGACCCTTTTATAATGTCAACTATCATCGTTGGAAACCTCCACCACTTTATATGCACTAACAATGTATGTCGTATAATTTGGAATAGGGATGTTAACGCAGCACGGCCTTCTTAGGTATCCCTATGGTCTACCAAGTGGATCGCCCAGATCCTTTTCATCACCACCGTTCCCTATCCCCCGAGTGTGCGAGTCACTGGCGTCTTGCAAGCGGCCACGCCCGCGTAGGAAGTAATTTGTAGTTCAGAGACAGCGCATAATGGCCACTGTTTATTATAAATGGAGGATTTATTATTTGTGCACACCTTAAAATTTTGAAAGTCAGGCGGAAGAGTGTGTGAGGCAACTATTTCCGACAGTGCGTGAAATACTTTAAAGATGTATTACAACCCTTTTACCATGGCAACATGCACTGAATTTATTACATTCCAACGTAATGGCGAAACATGCGCAGGACATTTTATTTCAAATCAATGCTAATTTAGCTACAGTCTTTACCTTCGTCGTTTATCAGTCGCCTTTTCTATCGGTCAGCGACTTCTCGGGAGAGCAAAAAAAAACACCACGACACGATGCGGCCTCACAGTCACGTGAATTTCCAATTTTATAGTACATTTCTACATAAAAAATTTGGACAAAAAAAAAGACTTTTACTCGGTGGAAAGACTCGGTGGAAGCCAGGTGGCCGTTTATGGCAATCCATGGAAGCGGAGTTTAGGAGGCAGGCAATGGCTAAATACCTCGATGCCATGAATTCCTTCTTCCCCTTTGCTTTCTTTCTTCTATTTCCTCTAAAATAATGCTCTCCCGTATTGCTCTTCGTTCAGCAAGAGCTTATGCTGCTCAAGGAAGACTGGTGAGCAGATCTACCGTTCTGTCACGGGCTGCTCATAATGCCGCCAAGCCGCCAGCTAGAGATGCCTTTGCACCTTTGGATACCTTCGCTCGTCGTCATTTGGGTTCAGAACCAAAGGAGGTCGGTGCTATGTTGAAGCAGGTGGGTGTCAAGAACATGGACGAAATGGTTGGAAAGACCATTCCTCCCTCTATTCGTTCTCCAAAGAATTTGGCGTTGGATCACGGATTCCCTGAGCGGGCTTTGTTGGATCGTCTCAAGTCCATTGGTGCAAAGAACAAGGTGTTCCGTTCTTACATTGGTATGGGTTATACCGACACTGTCGTTCCCAATGTCATTCTTCGTAACGTTCTAGAGAACCCTGCTTGGTATACTCAGGTAGGTTTTGAAGTGGCTTGTAGGTCAAAATTTTGACACATTGATAGATTAACGTTTTCTTGTTTATCTATTGTAGTACACACCCTATCAACCCGAAATTTCACAAGGACGTCTTGAATCCCTTGTCAACTTTCAAACCATGGTCACTGACCTCACTGGTCTGCCTATCGCCAACGCTTCATTGTTGGATGAAGGTACTGCTGCTGCTGAAGCCATGATCATGTGCTGGCAATCCACCCGTAAGGGTCGCAACACATTTGTCGTGGATGAAAACTGCCACCCTCAAACCATTGCTTGCGTTCAAATGCGTGCTGAATCATTCAACATCAACGTGGTTGTTGGTAAGGTAGATGATGCTATGTTGGAGAAGCATGGAAAGGATATCACTGGTGTTTTGATTCAGGTAAGTTTGACCGATCGAAATTTTTGTCTGGATTTCCCACGTGAATAGCCCCTAAACAGAGTTCCTTGCTTTTCCCTCAGTACCCAGACACCAGAGGTAATGTCGCCGACTATGAACAACTCACTAAGGCTGTCCATACCGCTGGCGGTCAAGTCGTCGTCGCCACCGACCTTTTGTCTTTGACCTTGCTTAAGGCTCCTGGTGAATTTGGCGCTGATATTGCTCTTGGTAACTCTCAACGCTTTGGTGTTCCTCTCGGCTATGGTGGCCCCCATGCCGCTTTCTTTGCCTGCAAGGATGAACACAAGCGTCGTATCCCAGGAAGAATTGTTGGTGTGTCCAAGGATGCTCATGGCAAGCCTGCCTATCGTCTCGCTCTTCAAACTCGTGAGCAACATATTCGTCGTGAAAAGGCTACTTCCAACATCTGTACCGCTCAGGCTCTTCTCGCTAATATGGCTGCCATGTATGCTGTCTACCACGGTCCTGACGTAAGTTTAAAAACACAGCGAGCGCATCCGGTGTAATGTGAGGCAAAGACTGACTTTGAATTTGTTGGCTTGGATCATTTTTTCCTTCTCTAGGGCTTGAAAGCTATTGCTCAGCGCATTCACAACTTGACCGCCGTTTTGGCTGAAGGCATCAAGCAAGCCGGTCACTCCATTGAAAACCCTGTTTATTTCGATACCCTTTCCGTCAAGGTCGATGATGCTTCCACCATCATTAACAAGGCTGTTGGTCTCGGTATCAACTTGCGCAAGTTGGATAACAAGACCGTTGCCTTGACTTTGGATGAGACTGTTAGCAAGAATGACATCAACGACCTTTTGTCTGTTTTCACCAAGGATGGTGCACTCGACGCCGACAAGATCGCTCAAGCCATCAGCCTTGAATCTACCCCCGCCAGCTTCCCTAGCAACCTCCAACGTCAGTCCAAGTACTTGCAACACCCCATTTTCAATACCCATCACTCTGAGACAGAATTGCTCCGTTACATCCACTACTTGCAGAGCAAGGATTTGTCTTTGGTCCATTCCATGATTCCTCTCGGTAGCTGCACCATGAAGTTGAATGCTACCACGGAAATGATTCCTATCACCTGGCCTGAATTTGCCAACATCCATCCTTTTGCTCCTGTTGATCAGGCTGAGGGTTACTCTATCATGCTCAAGGAATTGGAGAACGACATTGCTGAAATCACTGGTTTCGATGCTGTTTCATTGCAACCCAACTCCGGCGCTCAAGGTGAATACGCTGGTCTTCGTGCCATCCGTGCTTTCCATCACGCCAACGGTGATCTCCAGCGTAACGTCTGCTTGATCCCTATCTCTGCTCACGGTACTAACCCTGCCTCCGCTGCTATGGCTGGTATGGATGTTGTTATCATCAAGTGCGATAACAAGGGTAACTTGGATATGGAAGACTTGAAGGCCAAGGCTGAGAAGCACAAGGATCGTTTGGCTGCTATTATGATTACTTACCCATCCACTTTTGGTGTGTTCGAATCTGGTGTCGCTGAAGCTTGCCAGGTTGTTCACCAACACGGCGGTCAAGTGTATATGGATGGTGCTAACTTGAATGCTCAAATCGGCTTGACTAAGCCTGGTGAAATTGGTGCTGATGTTTGCCATTTGAACTTGCACAAGACCTTCTGTATTCCTCACGGTGGTGGTGGTCCCGGTATGGGTCCCATTGCCTGCAAGTCTCACCTTGGTCCTCACTTGCCTGGACATCCTGTTATTAAGGTTGGAGGTGAGCAAGCTATTGGTCCTATCTCAGCTGCACCCTACGGTTCTGCTGCCATTCTTCCCATCTCATGGGCTTATATCAAGATGATGGGTGGTGACGGTCTTCGCCAATCCACCGAGTTGGCCTTGTTGAATGCTAACTACATGGCCAGCCGACTTGCTCCTCACTATGAGATTCTTTACACCAACGAAAACGGTATGTGCGCTCACGAATTCATTGTCGACATCCGTCCCTTCGGTCAGCTCGCTGGTATCGAAGCTATCGACATTGCCAAGCGTCTTCAGGATTACGGTTTCCACAGCCCTACCATGTCTTGGCCCGTTGCCAACACTTTGATGATTGAACCCACTGAATCAGAGAGCAAGGCTGAATTGGATCGTTTCTGCGATGCCATGATTTCCATCCGAAAGGAAATCCAAGAAGTCATTGACGAGAAGCAACCTCGTGGTGACAACGTCTTGACCAACTCCCCCCATCCTCTTAGCCAGCTTATCAACGACAAGTGGGAGAAGTCCTACAGCCGTGAGGTCGCTGCTTACCCCATGGCATACCTTAAGGAGAAGAAGTTCTGGCCTAGCGTTGGTCGTGTTGGTAAGTAATAACCTGGCGATATGTCCCTCTAAATTTTTCCTTTTACTGACTCTTTCTCTTCTCTAAAGATGACGCATACGGTGACCGCAACTTGATGTGCACTTGCCCATCCCCCGAAGAATACATCAACGATAACTAGACTGATTTGGCGCTGCATCCATATCCCCCCCTCGTATCCTTCTTCTGCATTCAACTGCAATGTTCTAATTCCTTTCTCTTGTAATATCCTCTGTTTTTCTTAACCCCATCATGTCTTTTTTCTTTCGTTCTACTTTGTCGTTTCCCTCAAATGTAATGTAAAGCAGTTTACCTTTTCAACAAGTGTTCATATAATAAATACGATTCAGGTGTAAAAATTATGTCTTATGTACGCATTTGGGAAGTGAGAAAACATTTACAGAAGTTATTGGTTTGAAGCGGTGGAAGCAGTTCTTGAAACGATTGATCGTGGTTGATTCTCTTCCTCTTGGTCTTGTAGCTGTCGCATTTTTGAAGTGTTACAGCCGCTTCCCTCTGGTTCAGACTGATCCGCCAGAGGCACTTCCGAACAGCTTGATCCAGCGCTGGGTGCCGTCTCTGATGGCTCGGCAGGCGGCTTAAAACATGGCCCAAATCTTGCAAGAGACTCGAGCGTCGACGGGGTTGAAGACTACAAAGCGTGGTAGTACTGAACTTTCAATTCCATAGCGCAGAGATAACTTACTCTTTTCATTTAGTAAACAGGAAATCAGCCGTATGTAGCTCTGAGTTTCGCGAGCACTGACAGAGGTAGTGAAATAATGCCTTTTGAAGTTGGTCCAAAGGGTGTTCAGTTCTTTTATCGAGTTTCACCAAAGTGCCACCGCATTGCGGAGATGCGACGATGCCACCAACATTACTTGAGCATCTTCAAGAGGTAACCCCTCACGATGGGCTGAAAACTCGATTCTTGTATGTTGCATTCCAGGACGTCTTGCTTATCTTAACCTTGAAAGTATGGGCTACCCATGGTAGCTTCACCAAAATCTTACGTGCGGCATATATGGAGTAAGGAAGAAGGTACTTTTATTAACTAATTTGCTATACTAATGTTTTCTTGGGACTACAGAACGTGGCCGACCGGCTTCTTCATCTTCCAGCTTTCGCTTTCGCGAGGTGTTATGTCTGGCGCTGGGTGCCTCTAACTGAGCTTGGTTGCTTGATTCAGCTGTTGGAGGATGAGGAAGTGGGACATAAGCTCCAGAATCCTTATTATAATCATCAATCCAGCTCCAGTCTCCCTCTTTGACGTAGTCATCGTCTTCAGGAAGCAGTTCATTCTCATCTTCGCTGTCAAGTTCTGGCCCTTCAAGATGTCGGCTGGTCTTCTGTCTGCTAAGTAACGGTCTCATTGGCCTTTTAACGTTATCGATCGGCTTCTGGAAAACTGCACTTTCATCTGGTGAAGTGGTCTCTTCGCCAGTGGGCTTGTCGAGTTCCTTGGAATCGAGGCTTGAAGGTTGAACTGGTGTGGCAGAAGAATCGTGTGTCTGTGGTAAGGTACCTTCGTTTTCAGCCTTTACAGCTATCACCTCAGAACTGCATTCAATGACCTTTTCGGTAGGCTCTTCGTTAGAAGCAGAGGTTGATGCGGTAGAAGAATCGCGTGCCAGTGACAGGATACCTTCGTCTTCAGCCTTCACAGCTACCATCTCAGAACTGCATTCAGCGTCCTTTTTGGCAGGCTCTTCATCAGAAG